CCTCACGGGTTCCTGGACTGCAAACTAGCGCCTTCTCCGAAACGTCTCTCAGTCTGCTCGCGCTGCGCTCCCTCCTGGCGGCACCGCGGACTCCCGGAGCTCCGGCCGGCCAGCGCAGCCCCAGTCCGGCGGGGTGCAGGGATCTGGGCCCACTCGGGGACGCCTTGCTGTGAACACCGCAGGATCGCATCTGAGAGACCTGAGAGGGGAGAAGGAGCGAGCGAAGCACGACACCAGCAGACAGGGCAAGGACAGCGACTGGAAGATGTGGAGAAGTTAAGGCTTGTGCCGACTCAGCTCAGGAGAGAAACTTCATGAAGCCTGTGCTAAGCTGGGCGTCAACCAGAGAACGGGAACTCACGCTGCCCACTTAACGAAAACCAGGAGATAACAACTGGCCGAGTAGGATCTGGGGCGAGCCAGGAGTGTTAAGGAGGGAGCACTGGTATTGGAATTCTCTATCTTCGGAAGGGAAAGGGGGGGGGGAGTGCGTGCTTTTAAATTTTATTTTATCTATTTTTAGGGAGCTCCCTGCTCCGCAGAGACAGGCGTCTCGGATGCCCACCAAGGAGGTCAGGCCTCACAAGACAGTTTGAGAACCCCAGATGAGGCCCAGATTTCTCCTTCCAGGATGCCGGTGTCAAAGACCACTCACCTTCAGTGGGCTTTCCCGCATGAGCGTATTTTAGGAAAGTGCATTGGCTGTAGAAACTAGAAATACCGATGCAGCCCCAATACAACCGAAGCCCGAGGGGAGATTGCCTTTGCATGTGGAATTAAAGTTGGTGCAATGAAAATCTTTAAAAGAAAACAAAACAAAAACGAAACTAAAAAAAAAAAAACAAAACAAAACAAAAGCGCTTTCTCTCTCTCTCTTTCTCTTCTCTCTCTCTCTCTCTCCTCTCTTTCTTAATGAGCGCCACGAACATGCCAAAACGTCCTGGCTGCGAATGTAATAGAATATGATTTAATACACTGAAAACTACTTACATTTTAAATGTCCCTCATTAAAGTAAACCCACTTAAAAAGGCGTTTTTTTTTTTTATGAAAAAAAAATCTGCACACACCAAAGTGGCATCTATTTTGGGTCCCAGACTTAAATAGTTCACGAACCCTAGAATTGAAGCAGAATGAGTTAGAGCCTCTGGCTTTATTGAAATGCCCTGGTATTGTTTTCCTTCTTTCCTGAATAAAACAGGCATGGAAAGAGGCAGTTTCGGCCACTGGCTGGGCGTCAGTTACGCGTCGGTGGCGCGGTGGCAGCGCCAGGTTTTCGCAGCTGGGCCAAAGCCGGCAGGCGCGAGCCACAGCGCCCCCTCGCCGCCTGCCGGGAGACTCTGGCCGGCATCGCCTCCAGAAAGCCACAGGATAGATAGGACAGCGTCGAGCGACCACCTGGGTCTTCGAAACCAGTTTTGAAGGTGCGGTAAAGCCCTGACCATGTTAACAGTAATAGTTTTTTATTCTGCTACAAAACCGAGAGAATCCACAGGAAGTACCCACAACCTAGGTAACTGTTACAGGCGGTCGCTTTCGCTTTCCTCAGTGTCGCACATTGTTCACCCCATTTAAGTATCTGGGAAAACAGGACCAGGTTTCCTAAGAGACTGTTACACCTGAACACCCTTCCTACCCTGGACCACATCACCCATGACTTTTGTTCTGTTGTTGTTTTGTTTTTGTTTTGTTTTTTTTTTGTTGTTGTTGTTGTTTTGATAGGGAAGTTGTTGGATAAGAGTCTTAGCAGTGAGTCTTCAGAGCAGTTTGAGCTAACCCCGTGTATGACCTGAGAAGCCTCAGTGAGGACTGTCTCCCAGGCTCCACACTTGGAAGTGATGAATTTTACTCATTGATTTTGTTGATGGTGGTTTTTAAAGATCAAGCCAGCTTTAACCCAAGAAAAGAAAAATTGGCTTTTTCAGACTTAGGGAGCATCAATGTGAAAGGGAGTTTAAAAAAGCCAACAATAGGGAACTCACTCGTTAATGTACCTGTATGGTCATTTTAATTCGCCATACTTGATACCAATAAAATCAGCATGTAGTCAGAGTTGATTGTTTAATTGCACAAAGCCAATAAAATCAGCATGTAGTCAGAGTTGACTGTTTAATTGCACAAAGTAGCCAGTTTTTTTTAAAACAGGCAGCAGTATGGAAATTTTATATTTTGGTAGAGGATCATTGCTAGAAGAAATACAGGGGATTTGATCTAAATAGGTTGCACCCAACAAGAGGGCTGTATTTCTAGGATGTTTTGCACAGAGACCCTCCAAAGTCAAGCATGCTTGTCTAGTTATGTAGCTAACTGATGTCCAAATCAGCTGCATCTAGGCATAAGGACCTGCTACTGGCTTTTTATAACTGGCTATTTTCTCTTCCATCCTTGGCAAAGGTTAGAGGGTAAAGCCACCCCCACTGAAACTGTGGCAGTAAACTAGTCTTTACAAATGAAAAAGATCAAGATTCTTACAATCACACCCCCCCCCCGTAAAATGTAGAGACTTCATATAAAAAACTTAAACCAATCTAATTGGTAGTTAATTGAATGCCTGAGTCAAACCTGTGATTGTTATACAGTATGTGGGATCTCATTGAAGGCCTCTTCCCAGAGGAATTCCTTCCCAGGAAAACATAAATAGCTGAATATGCAGATTTGGCTCCACCCAGTTGCCCTGCACTGAGATGCTGGGTTGGTAGGTATTTCTGTCTCCTCTCACTCTCTCACCCTCTGTCCTCCTCCTCACTCTCTCTCTCTCTCTCTCTCTCTCTCTCTCTCTCTCTCTCTCTCTCTCTCTCTCTCTCTCTCCCTTCCTCCCTTCCCCCTTCCTTTCCCTTTCTTTCTCTCCCCTGAACTAGGTAGACCTAGTGTCGTGGTCCCAGTAGATGCTTTGCAACATATCATGGCCTAGTTCTGGGTCTTTGGGAAGTGAACTCTGCAGATGCACCAAGACTCTGAGGGTGCTACTGGCTAAAGGCTCTTGAAAGTTTTGTAGGGGAGAGTGAGAAGAGCCCTGAGAAGGGAGGATGTATTGGTATAGTAACACCAGTGTTTGTAGAGTGCATGGGAAGTACATACCAAAAGAGATAGACACTCTTGCCTGCCTGAATGCCTGCCTGCCTGCCTGCCTGCCAGCCAGCCTGAGGAAAAAAAGAAAAAAAAAAAACAATACTCAATCCATCACTGCAATTGACTCCTGGTTTCTTGAAACTGGGAAAAACAAAACGCAAGCTGGCTGCCTACTGCGTTCATTGGGTGCCTTGGATCTGGAACCGGGGAGCTGGAGTGCCACTGCCCAGGCCCACGCAGAAGCTGGGCACTCGCGCTGGAGACCTCTGCCGCCCTCTACTAGCTTCAGAGCCCACCAAGGATGAAATGGCAACTGATCTGAGCTCAGGCTCGCACCACAACCCGAAGCATCGTCCTCGTGCACCACCTAGCCGGCTTCAAGGAAGAGACACCTGTTGGGTGGGCGCCCCCTCCCGGGCCAGCTCACACCTGACCCCTGTGAGTCTCTGAGCGCCCCCCATTGGCAGTCCTTCAAGTCCAGTGGACTGGACCGGTGATCCCTCTGGCCACCTATCTCCTCACATAGGGGAAAGGGTGCAGGTATGGGCGGGAAAGTTTAGGGGCGGGGTCCCAAGGGTTTTCGCTAACCACTTAGCCCGAGGGACCTGCCAGTCACCTCCTGAACCTCAGGTTACCTTAGCTACTTGTGAAGCGATGTGCCACCTCACTGGCTGGCCTCTGTCCCTTCAAGAAGTGGCGGTGAGACTCTAGCAAAGTCAGAAGCAACTCTTCTGTCGGGAGCCTTCCCCAAATTCGAAGATGCGTTCAACTTAACAAAAGAAAACAAAACCCTTTTAGGGCCAGGGTGACTGGGGTCTTGTTAGTTACTTAGTTTGTTTTTTGAGGCGAATCACTCGCTGACGCGTTCCAGACGTTAATAGGCACGAAGTTCCTAACACGTAGTCTGACATCTTCTCTCTGTACTTGGGACAGAAGCCGCGTCATCTAGGGGCCTCCTGGGAACAGCTCCAAACCAAAAAACGCTCCGGTTCCGGGTCGATGCTTCGCAGCACGGGCGCCAGGAGCAGGCAACCAGAAGCGAAGCCACGCGGGCAGCCTGGGCGGTGAGGCTAGGCAGACAGAGGACCGTAGAAGTGAGACCGCCCAGCAACTCTGCAGGTGTCTCCAAACTGCCCTGGAGCTCTCTGCGGCATCTGCACTGGACACGGGATGGAACCTCGGCTGGTATATTTAAGGGGACGAGGGGTGCCTGCCTGATCCGTACGTCCCCCAGGTGAATCGGACCGGCCTGACTGTGGAAGGCCTTTGCAGATCAGTGCGAGGCGAGCCAGAACGCCGGTGGTGGTTGAATGGGGCCCGGGAAATGAGGAAGGTGGCTGGGCCGAGGCTGGAGTCGGCGGCATCGGAGTGCGCGGACGTGGCTGGAGGACATGCCAGTGGGAGGGGGTGAGAGCTACGCCCAGTTTGGCCGGGCCTGACTTCTCCGCGGCGGGCCGCGGGCTTGGGCGGGAGCTGCGAGAGGAGGCTGCGCGACAAAAGCCTGCGCGTCCCTCCCTCCTGCCGATCGCTGCCACTCCTCCGCCTTCCCCTCACTCCCCTCCCATCCGCTTTCTGCCCCTCCCCCGGCCTGGGCCAGGGCCTCGTCAGCGGGCGGAGCAGGGGAGGGGCGAGCACCAGAATATGCAAATGAGAGTGTGACGGACAGCTCCGCGTTCCAATGTCCCTCGGAAACTCTAGCGCTCCTTCCTCAACTCCTCACTCCCGACTGCAGACTCCCCCAAACCCCGACCGCCGGCCTGGCGCGCGGCTGCGCCCACCGGCTTCGCGCTGCTGCCGCCGCCGCCGCCGCCCCGCAGATCCGCCTGCCCGCGGGCCTCCCAGGCTAGTGCCTAGCCCAGCCTGGCCCGGCCCGAAGCCCCGGTGCGCCCCGGCCGGGCGTGGATGGAGGGCGCCGCGCGCGCGCTGCCCGCTGCTCTGCGTGACGCGGGCCTCGCGCCCCGCGCCCACCATGTCCTACCCGCAGGGCTACCTGTACCAAGCGCCCGGCTCGCTGGCGCTCTACTCGTGCCCCGCGTACGGCGCGTCCGCGCTGGCGGCGCCGCGCAGCGAGGAGCTGGCGCGCTCGGCGTCCGGCTCCGCGTTCAGTCCGTACCCGGGCTCGGCGGCCTTCACAGCGCAGGCGGCAACCGGCTTCGGCAGCCCGTTGCAGTACTCCGCAGACGCCGCCGCGGCAGCTGCCGCGGGCTTCCCGTCCTACATGGTAACCGCTTTTGGGTGGGGGGCGGGGAGACCCCCATCCCTGGCTTGGGTTGAGCGGGGTACTGAGAACACGGCGCGGGCGGAGGCTCCGGAGTCACCCGCTGCCGCGCGAAACAAGGGACCGGGCTGACACGCAGCGGTTGTGCGATGATTTCCCCTAAGCCTGTGCGAGGTGCTACTCCACCCGGGCCGGGACCATGAGTTGTCTCTAATCCGCGCCTTCGGATTGCTGGGGCTGCGGAGTCGGCTCGCTGCCCTCCCGCATGGTTCCAGGCCGAGGGCCGCCGCTCTCCGAGCCTCTAGGGCCACTGCCGCACGGTTCGGGTTTCTTGGCCACGCTAGTGGCGGGGTCACCGAGTTAGGTGAGACACCGAGCCTCTGGCTGCCGCCCCTACATCCAAGCCCAAGCTTTCTAGTCTTGGCCTTTAAATGTCTCTCAGATCTGACTTTCAAAAAAATATGTTGACCGCTTTGGGACCCGCTAAGTGCTGCCAGAGTTCGTGTGCGGCCTATGGGCACCAGCTCCAGAAACTGAACATCTCTGGGTTCTGAGAACGGGCCCCTCCGGAGTGGGTCGTAGCAGTTTGGGGGGCGTGGGAGGACATGGGGTGGCGGGGCGGTTAATACCCTAGGTGGAAACCAGGCCTTGGGAGAAGGTTACAAGCATCTCCTATTTAAACGTTAAAAGATGAATTAAAATGCTAATTACTACGTAGTTGAAGAATTGAAAAAGCTGACCGGCTTCTGAGTTGCAAATTGGATTTACTCTGCTTTAGAGGGTGAATAGCAGAGTAGGATTCCGAAGTATTTTTTTCTTTTTCTTTTTTCTTTTCTTTTCTTTTCTTTTTTTTCTTTTTTTTTTTTTTTAACTATATAAAGGACGGAAGGGGGTGAGAGAGTAGCGCGGGAAGCATCCGATGAAATTTAGATATCAAGAAACTACCTGCAGAACTGCGGGGCTATCCAGAGATTGTGTTTGCAGACACTGTTCCAGCTACTCGGGAACTTAGGTAGTTTGGGGAGGGGGGAGTGAGATAGTTAAAAATAAAATTCTCAAATCAAAAGCCAGGAGTTTTGTTTCCAACAGCTGGCCTTGTATTTCTCCTTGTGTACTCTCTCTGCAGAAAGGTTCACAGCCCAGAGAAGCCAAACAAGAAAGGCAGTGGGGGGGGGGCGATAGGGTCGCCTTTGGGGGGGGGGCTACGCCTGAGGGGCCCATTCACCCTCCACTCACAGGCTGTTGTGGCTTCCAGGGCTCGCCATACGACACGCACACCACCGGCATGACTGGCGCCATCAGCTACCACCCATATGGCAGCGCGGCCTACCCATACCAGCTCAACGACCCAGCATACCGCAAGAACGCCACGCGGGATGCCACTGCCACACTGAAAGCCTGGCTCAACGAGCACCGCAAGAACCCGTACCCCACCAAGGGAGAGAAGATCATGCTGGCCATCATCACCAAGATGACCCTCACACAGGTCTCCACCTGGTTCGCCAATGCGCGCCGGCGCCTCAAGAAGGAGAACAAAATGACCTGGGCCCCGAGGAACAAAAGCGAGGACGAGGACGAGGACGACGGAGATGCTGCAAGGAACAAGGAGGAGAGTCCCGACAAGGCTCAGGACGGCACAGAGACCTCCGCCGAGGATGAAGGTGAGCGGGGCCGAGGTCGTGCGAAGGCTCAAGGAGCCTTTCTTCCCAGGCGGGCTGTGGTTGGGGCTGAAGCTACGCACCTGCCACGCAGGGCCAGGGCCTACAAAAAGCGGCCAAACGGCTTCGTTCTGGCCCCCTGGGATTTGGTTTGGAGTTCTCAAGGCTTAACGCTGCCTTGGGGCGAGGTGCAGGGTCATGGGGAAGCCCAATGCAGGACATTTGGGTTGGGCGGATGGGACTGTGGGTATCCGCTCTGGCCCAACTTTGCGCCCATCGTGTCTGCGCCCCCGCAGGGATTAGTCTGCACGTCGACTCGCTCACGGACCACTCGTGCTCGGCGGAGTCAGATGGGGAGAAATTGCCCTGCCGCCCCGGGGATCCCTTGTGCGAATCGGGCTCAGAGTGTAAGGACAAGTTTGAGGACCTGGAGGATGAGGAGGATGAGGAAGACGAGTGTGAGCCGGACCTGGCGCCTCCCAAGCCTGTGACCTCCTCGCCACTCACGGGCGTGGAGGCACCCCTGCTGAGCCCGACGCCTGAAGTCGCGCCACGCAGTGGCAGCGGTGGCAAGACGCCCCTAGGCAGCCGGACGTCGCCTGGAGCGCCGCCGCCCACCAACAAGCCCAAGCTGTGGTCGCTGGCAGAGATCGCCACTTCGGACCTCAAGCAACCAAGCTTGGGCCAGGGTTGCGGACCTCCGGGGCTGCCAACTGCCGCTGCGCCCGCCTCATCTGGGGCCCCTCCGGGAGGCTCACCCTACTCTGCTTCTCCGCTGCTGGGCCGCCACCTCTACTATACGTCGCCTTTCTATGGCAATTACACAAACTATGGGAACTTGAATGCAGCCCTACAGGGCCAGGGCCTTCTGCGGTACAACGCAGCAGCCTCCGCACCAGGCGAGACGCTACACGCCATGCCCAAGGCGGCTAGCGATGCGGGCAAAACGGGCTCGCACCCGCTGGAGTCCCACTACAGGCCTCCGGGCGGCGGCTACGAGCCCAAGAAAGGTAGGCTGCCCGAGGCCGGTGGGGAGGGATCCTGGTGAGTCAGAACTAGCTAGAAACCTAGAAAAGGGCTCCTGGAGTGGGGAGACCTTTGGACAGACCGAGAATTAGGGAAGCCAACTTGAGGAGGAGGATTGTAGGTGAAAGCAAAGAGGACTAGCCAGCCCTCTTTTTAGATCTACCCTGTTTTATTTACTCTTTATTTAATTTACTGTTAATACTATCATCATCGTTAAGTATTCTGTTTTGGCAAACTTACTGCCAGGCCAAAAAAAAAAAAAAAAAAAAAAAAAGAAAAAACTGAGCTTGCCTCTCTGCTGGGTGTAGTCTTCCCTCTGTGGTGTTGGTTAAATGGATTTTAGCTGAATCTTTCTGTTTTGGGCTCGATGAAAATACAGGTCGGGAACTCTCAGAGGCCCAATTTTCTTACACTGCCTACATTGTTCCTAATTTGGTATCCCGAATGGGGTACTGATGGGGGCTCAAGAGAGGAAAGAAAGGAAGGAGCAGGTGGGGGGGGGAGCGGCGCATAAATAAACTGGATCTTAGATTCCCTGGGAGTGTGTGTTTCTTGCAGAGATAAAAGCTGATAGGTACTTAGCTGCCAGGGTTTGCAGCCTGTCCTCACTAACTGCCCCTCCCCTGACAGATGCCAGTGAGGGCTGTGCGGTTGTTGGAGCAGGAGTCCAGCCCTACCTATAGAAGGGCCAAGCTCAGCAGTTCAAGTAAGTGGGTTCCCTCTGTGTCCTACCGTCCTACAGCCCCAAGCCTATGCCCTGTGTGGTGTGGTTTTGTTTGTCAAGGGTTGGAGAATAGAGTCTGGCTTCCTTCTGCCTCTTTGCCTTCTGTTTTATAGATCCCCCCCTTCTCCCCCTGCTCAAGTTGTGCTTTGGAGAATCACTTCTTGAATCTGAACACACACACACACACACACACACACATCACAACCATACACACACATCCTCAAACATGTAACATATACCCCCACCTCTACTCCCATTGGTCCATGATGGTTTAAAAGTCGGGGCATCTCCTTGTCATTGAGAATTGTTTTAGATACATAAAGGACACCTTGCTTGATGAGTGAGTTCTTCAGAAACGGGCATTAAAATCTGTAACGGATGTTGTTTTCAGAATAAGATTGAAGGGATATTGGCAGGGGCTGGTCTTTCATAGAACACACTACTAGACTCTATAGTTCTCCTAGCCCAGAGCTGTTATCAAAATTTACTTTCCTACAAGGCAGCATTACTGTTCCCAGACCCTAAAGATGGCAAAGAGGCAGAGCTAGTAAACACAAGCTTGTGGGGTTTTTTGTTGTTGTTGTTGTTTATACTTTGGTTTGGTTTGGTTTTTTGGTAACGTGTTGGTGTGAAACTGAACAATCTGGCATGATTTGGTTTTTTTCCTTGGTCCACAGGTAGGTGTCACAATTGCTTTGGAAAAAAAAAAAAATAACAGTCAGGAGGCCATTCTCCTTCCCCAAGCTCATAAATACACAGATACAAACCCCAGATGTGGAAATCCGGACCACATCTTGTGCCACTGTAAAAGAGGATGCATACTGCACTCCAACCCACAGACATTAAAGACTGGACACACATTGTTGGGCATATGTGAATCTGTTGGCATAGTATAGATTCCCCATGTTTGTGTTTGGAAACAATCTGTTTTTTCTCAGGATATCTTGATCACTTCATGCCACGGTATATATTCTATAGGTGTAATAGGACTTGCTGTAAAATTTATTTGTAAAAAAAAAATGTACACGGTAGAACTAATGTGATTGAAGAACTTGAGTCCTTCAGAAGCGGAAACAAATTTGATATTTATTTTTATAATGATATAAAGCTTCTAGTAATTTATGCAAGTTGTATTGCAATGATATCTAAAACTTTTGTAAATAAATTCTGCCTGGTTTTTATTTGAACATTGCTGGTTATACAATCTCTGTTGGTTGTCTAACATGAATTCTCTACTAATTTATATCTAAAACTGTAAATAAAAACAAACTAGCCTACAAGAAAATGGTGTTCAGGGCTCATTTTTACTGGAGACTGATTTGGGTAGGAGGCCTAGTAGCCCGTGGTTCCCCCCTCAGCCCTCCCCCCACTGCCAGGTGATCCTACCTCGTTTTTTTTAAATAAAGAGCCTAGGCAGTGAAATAAACTCCTTCTTGAGCTTATTTGAAAATTAGAGACAGGAGCAAGACATAAATGTTCAACAGGGAGATGCCTGCGGTTCCAGCTGATTCCCATACAGATGTGTTGCAAAAAAAATAATTCAGATGTTCTTGTTCTCAGAATATGCAAATCCCTACTTAGTGTACATTTCTAAAATGTGGAAAAATAAAAGGATATGCCACCTCTCTCGGTATTTTATCTTCTTTTGTGGTACTGGAGAAGGATCTTCCCATTAATGCTGGAGAGGACCCTCGCACAAGAAATTGCTGATGGGAAGAGTTGTTTTCCTGAGCCTGAAATGTCTCAATCGACATAAGATCCTGAACATTTATTGAAGGGCTCTTTCCTTTCCTTTCAGTTTAGTTCCCATTACCAGGAGAGGGGCGGGAAGTAGATTCTTTACTGTGGTGCTCTGCTACCCTTACCCTCAGGGAAAAGAAAAGTTTAAACATCCTCAGACATTGTCTCTTTATTGTCTCCTCACCTCGTAATTACAGGACCAGCCTGGAATTTGCAGCCAAGTAACCCAGCCCCTTTGATTAGTATCATAAAAGCAGCCACTCTGTCACTTCAGCTTTTCTCAAATTATGTAGATACCCATATAATAAAATTTCTGAGAAGTGAACAATCATTTATTTCCTCTGCAGAGATAAATTGAGTGAATATAACTTACGTTTATAAAGCAAGAATAATGGTTCTTTAGATTGCCCTTTAATCAATCATACGCTTATTTTCCAAGAGGCTCACCTATTTCATCCCATGATTAATAACAGTACGGCAGGGGAGCGTTATTGGAGCCCAGCGGGGGAGGTCTCTGGTGCTTTGGGCTGCTCTGGAATGGTCAGTTGGGGTTCATTATGGGCTGAGATTGAACGATTTATAAAATCTTGTCTAAACATCTGCCAGCTCCGATAGGCTGATGTGGCCGAGGATGGGAAATTGCTAGGCCAGTTGATATTGACAAAAGGATCTCTCTCCAGTGGCTTTTTGTGCCATAGAAATTAGTGGCCTCTTGCTGGGGTCTTGTTAGAAAGGGTATTGGAAAGTCATCTTATGTACTTGAAGCAAAGCCCCCAGCAGGCCAGCCTGGGGAGGAACTGAGTCGGTATCTCTAGAGGGGGGGAAATGAAGGCTACTTGGGCTTAGGGGATTGGGTTGAAATGCATGGGCATTTAGAACTTGGATCTAAAGTCCTGGGTTTCTGGATAAGAGATACTTTCCTCTCCTCCCTGCCTGGGGGGGGGGTTGCCTTGAGCTGGGGGAGGGGGGCAAAGAAAGTATTTATTTTTTAAACAAGGACCCTTGCTACTCTGGAGAGATTCCAGGGATGGCCGGGGAGTCAGAGGGTACTTTGGTTGTCTGTCTGTGTGTCTGTCTGTTTGGGTTTCTTAGGATTTCCAGAGATGCCCATCTCTCATCCCAGATGCATTTTACACTGCACTACAGCAGTAACACCGCCCTGCTTTACTGAAGTCAGCCATGATTCATAAATATCAGGGAACTGAAAGGGCTGGGTGTCAGTATCTCTATCACGTGTAATGCTGTAAGTTGAATATTTTGAAATTTTTAGGGGAACGTATGAAAGTTAACAATATTTAACAAACCGACAGCTCGAGATAACTGTAACGAAGATGCATCATTTAAGGCAGAAGTGTGGCCACTTCGTGGCAGGAAAAATATCTCAAACCCAAAATATCCTTCCTGCATGTAATCAGAATTAGAAATCTGATTAAGTGGCTAAAGTGGCCCCTCTCCTAGGGCAGAAAAGATTTTCTTACCTGGGCATACAATCAGGGTTCCTTTTGCAGCTCAGGCCTCCGCACCCCCCACCCCCTCCCAGAGGACTGGCATGCTTCTCTGGGTGACAATTCAGAGGCCTCAGGAGATTAGCCAAAGCTAATGAAGCTGCTTTGATGTTTATATGCCCAACAAATTATCAGAGATTTCCACAGCTTATCCACCTCCCTCCAGACCTGAATATATATCTTACTGGGGAACTTGGTTTTCAAATAAGCACTAAGAACATAAAATTGCAGGTGTTTAGAGGGACCTTTTTAGAAATGTAGAGTGATTTATGAGGGGGTGGGGAAGAATCACTGTTTAGGGAAGTGACCGCCTAGGAGAAATCAGCCTTGTGGAGCTGGGTCAGGGCAGCCATACTGCCTGCAAGCCCCATTGCGCCAGTGGCTGCTGGGCCCTGCCACTGTACTGTCAGGCCTCCGCAGCCTTTCTGCCCTCCACAGCTCGGGCTGCTTTAGAGCTGATTTATCAGAATTCGTGCTTTAATCTCAGGTGGGACCCGGGGGCCGGGCACTGCTGAGAGCTAGAGCACCCGGGGCGCTAGCCGGGCGGCGGGCCGGTGGGGTGCTGCCTCCTGCGCTCGTCAAATGTCAACATTTGTTCCCAATAAAAGAGTTATTGTCTCAGCAAAGCTGCCCAGCAACTGCCTTTGAAACTTGAAAAGAACTTCATCCACCTTTGTCTGCGTGTCAGGAGGGGCAGGGAACGGGGGGCAGGGGCAGCCAGCAGCCTGCTAGGATTTGGGGTGAGTCTTCCAATGCACCCCCTTGCGGGCTGCACCCGGTGTTCATTCTGAAAGCAGGAGAAAAGCAAGGACTGCATAGTGCCAGAGGTCTGCAGAGTTTTGTGGCTCGGAAAGCTCCGCGAATTTCCAATTGGTCCAGGTGCACTGGATGGCACCAAAGCCCCATGCTTTCTAGGGTCAAGAACAGACTTTGAAATAATTATGGAGGAGGCTAAAAGGTAATGAGCGCCCTTTTGAAACCCACCTAAACTAACATTATGAGATAGTAGTTTCACAGACATCAATTTGGAAAAAAAAAGTCATTTCAAATCAATACAGGGAGTTGGAGAAACCTTTCTAAAATTTAAATGTACTTCGAATTGTTATAAAGTTCACTCTAACTAGCCACATACTTATAATGATTGCCACCATTTAATTCTTTTAGTTAACCAGTCCATCAAGATCTCAAGAAAACATCCACTTAGACCCCAAATAAAATCTATTGCTACATTAAATATGCTTTAAAATCGCTTTTATGACAATAGCATTTCAAGTGTTTTAAGGATGTTAATCCAAGTGGATATTGGAAACAATACACAGCTGTCTGCCGCGAGTGAATGTTATGTTAACGTCATTTAAATTTCTACAGATTGGGAGGGGGATGTAGCCCTTTGATGTAGTCTCAAAACTTCATGCAAGTGACAAATCCCTACCAATATTTTAAAGGTTTATTTTGAAGAGAATTAATCTATGACAATATAATTTCCCCCATCCTGGTGGGGGAATGCTCACAGCCTGCCTCGGACCTCAGCCACAGCTTAATGAGGGAGAAAACCCAGCTAACCCCACATTCCTAGGTTTTCCTAGGAGTCTTTACCAGAACTCTCTGCAGTCTCTCAGGGCACCTCCATCCCCTCCAAACACTTAGCCGAGTCCTGACTCTCGTCCCCTGGAGTGGGTACAGAGTGCTGTCTTTTCTAAGAAAAATGAACATTGAAGACATTATTTAGGAAGACAATACTGATAATACAGTTAAAACAGTTATGAAACACCCTGTCTGTTCTCTTGCAATCCTAGGTAGAAGGGGGAAGAAGAAAGCTTGTTTGTTTAAATTTGGCCCCAAGCTGTTAGGGGAAAAGCTTTCAAAAAAAAAAAAAAAAAAAAAAAAAAAAAAAAACCAACACTATTTGTATCTATTTGATCTATTTGGAGCTGAAAAGAAGTTAAATCTAATATTCTTCAAGGACTGACTGTGAGGATCCAGGCAGCCTGTATAAGCGGACTGGATCTTCCTAGGACATGCCCAGGGGAGGAAACTGAGCTACACTAGCAAACATTTTTTATGGGGAAATAAATTGACAATTTATTGTGTGTAACTCCTGATCAATTATTAATCGTTAGTGTCAACAACAGGGTTATAATTACCTTCGGTGATTTTAAAAATTATTTGCCTTTTCGTGGCTCTGATCTGGTGATTAGTTAATGCTCTCCCGTAATGAGTTCCAGGAAGCACTGATCAGACCCTCCTCCCCCTTCCTTCTCCTCTCCCCTCCCTCTCCCCTCCCCCTTGCCTCCCTTTTGATGACCTTTAAAAGGAAACACATTCACTCTCTTGTTTCTCAGAAATTTACTCCTTGCCTCGGTTGTTTCCAGGGAGCACCTTTTATTTTTCTGCCATAAATAATGATTCCGGAGGAAAGGGGGAAAATGACAGACAAATAGGGCGCAGCTGGAATGAATAAGGCCGATCAAAGGGTGTGGGGCTGGGCTGCCAAGGCAGCACAGGTCTGAGCGACCAGCGTGCCCGCCGCGCTAGTCTCAGCCCGCAAGATCAAGGGCAGGGGTAACCCGAACGCGTCTGGAGGAGATGGTCTGGACTGAGGACCCTTCTTCTGACACCTTGTCCATTCTGGAACACTGGCCTGTGGTGCTGCATTTTCGCCCAGCGAGGGTGCAAGTTCCCGTTCCCCAGTCGATCAGAGAGAATGGAGAGATAGTTGGCAGGGGTTGCGGAACAGGACTGATCAAAAGTCAGTTATCAGATTAGGGGAGAACATGAATGTAGCCCCCAGACCAAGAGTTAGGAACACAGCCTTTGCTCTCGGCTTTAGCTGAGCAGCAGTGGCGCACGCTGAAGGATATCGGGCATTGTGTCCCTGATGTAATCCACCACCCCAGAGCCTGCCCTGTGCTGACCACACTGTCCCAGACCAGAGGCCTGAG